TTTTGAATGTTCATCACTTACCCCTTGTGGATTTTAAGATTTGACCCCAAATGATCAGATTTAAGTTTTGATCTGGACATTTTTTGTTTGTTGTATGAGCCACAACTATGAACACATTTACAGAGACTGTTGTGTGAAAAGTAAACTTCCACTGATTTCACATGATCTATTCAACCTTCAGACTGTTTTACAACCCATGAACTCAACTAAAACGTGCGGTTGTCACACTGACACCAATGCTACCATTCTGGAAGTTGAGATTTGAGGGCTTCGACGCGACGTTTGAGCAGGGAGAACAGCCATTGTTACCCAGTTAAAATAATGTTTGAACACACTCTCTGAAAGCGCCACATCCTCTGCAAGAAACAAAGTGAAAAAATTTCCTACAAGATGAAATCTTTAAATATCCCTGATAAAGTGAAGTCCCCTTAAAGTCCCCTCCTGAGTGAACCACACAGCCAAAGTACAAAATGGAATCAACTACTAGGATGAACTTTTACATATTATAAAATATATGTTTTTACATTTCTTAAAAAGGAAGAAAAAGAGCAGGTGATCATAAGGATAAAGAACTTGTCTTAAAGCTTACCTTTGACAGCAGAAAACAAAGTTGTGAACAAAAAGACTTCAGCCAGACCATACAGTCCTTTCAAGGTCAATGCTGTGTCTGTGTGGTGTGTCAGTGAGTGAGGGCTTTGTAAGACTGATTACTCAAATCTCTTATTCTACACCATCTGCATATTTTCTTGTCCTGTCATTGATCAGCATATGATCATCATGTCATCATCTTTGAGGAGCATTTTTTCCTTTCTCTTTTCTCCTTCTGCCATTCATCATTATTTACACTGGTCACACCCGTCTGTGTTTACAGAGGAAGGCAAATTAACTGACTTCCCTTTTTTCACGAGCACTGTCAGAATTGTGTTTATTTTAGCCATGCTTATGCAGATTTTGATCTGGTGACAGCTAGGGCAGTTCTCAGCAAGCACAGTGGGGGAATTCCACAGAGCAACCGTTTCAATACAACAGAAATGTATTAAGCCTTTGAAACCTGAGCAAATTGGTTTGGTTTCTTTCAAAAACACGGGGAAGAAGGCAAGAAGCAGTGAAAGAATAAATGACCCTTAAAAATAGCATCAAATTATTGAAAAATAAGATTCAAAAATTCTAAATTAATTGTAAAAAAAATAAAAATAAATTAAAAACAAGAAAATTAGTAAAAACATTATAATAATTTTGTAACCTAATTTTATATATATATTAATGATAAATATAAATATAGTTTTCTTCATGCTTTAGCTTTTTAAAAAGAATTTTCTGAATCTATTATTTTTTTGCAATTTGTAAAACATTTCTTACCGAGTTGCTCATTGCCTTTTTTCCCCATGTCTTTGAAAGAAATCACACCAATTTGCTCAGAGTTCAAAGGTCTGAATATTTTTGAAAGATGCCTGAAAGCACAAGAAAAGTGATGTTGCTCCGGGTTTTAAAGGGTTAATGATAACTCAACAGAAGCAAAACTATAATGTATGTACACAGCAATCAGTGAGAGGTGAGGGTGATGAGTGTAAGGAAAATGTAGATGTTAACTTAAACTTCCTGTGGCGTGAAACAAGGTAAAAGTCAACACAATCGTAACCAAACGCAAAAAGTTGCCTTCTTGGAGGGAGAGGAAGGGAGCCATCTTGACCTCGCCTGGCCTAAACAGGTTTCCAGTAGGTGAAGCCTATGCTTCAGTGACATGGGGGGAGCCAGGCAGTCATAGAGAAACTGAGACAGGAAACTGATGCTGTAATGACTGAGCAGGGCTGTCACACTGCCAAGAAATATCTGCAGATAATTTGTAGTTGAGTAGCATAATTGATTTGACTCTTTTGGAATTTTTTTTCCTGTGCATGTTAAATGATACCATTTAAAAGCAGTTAAAAACACTGTGTTAATCTTTAGTGTTTATTGTTTGGGCCTAGCCATCTCTGTGGGCCGGCCTGTGCCGGTGTTGAGTTTCACACCGAGTAAACAGAAAAGAAAAACGAGAAAGGACACGTTTCTGACTCGATGTCCTGTTGGGAGACAGGAATGGAAGAGTCCCAGAGCAAAAGTAAAACTAAAAGGGGTTCTGCCAGGACACTAAAATACAAAGATAAAAATAAAGTGCCAAAAGGCGCACGAGGCAAATATGCATATAATCAGACTACTGGTCCTGATCCAAATCAAACTCCAAAACAATTTATGGTGCAAGTGTTCATTCTTTACTGAGCCTTTCAGAGACTGACCCTCAGGCCTGGACAGACTCATCATGCCCTCAGTTAAGTTGCATTAACACCAGGATAGTCCAGGGGACTCAGTTCGATTGGGCGAGGAAGTGGACCAAACCTCCTGGACAGTTTCAACAGCTGCTCGTTCGGGGGAGGTTATGCCCCAAACGAGCACTGACCAGGAAGAAAAAAAGCATTAGGTAGAAGAAAACTTGGCTCATCGATTGGCCAGGACGGAAAACGGAAATCCATTCCCTTCAGCCGGCTTGGTCACCACGAAAACACCAAACACCAAAATGCAATGTGCTCTACGTCCCTTCCTCTCTTTCGTTCACTTCCTCCCAGCGGCAGTGTGTGTCCGTAAGATGCTGAAAGATGGGTTGATTCAGATGACAGTAGAGGATATTTATACCTCCCGACCAGGAACAGCCATGGTGGGAGTCAGGTTGCCTATACATGTATTCGTCTCATTCTAGTGAATGCAATTTCTCATGAACACCTTGGGGGAATTTCTTCAGATTTGGCACAAACGTCCACTTGGACTTAACAATGAACTGATAGATTTTGTTGGTCAAAGGTCAAGGTCCCTGTGATTTTCCACCTGTCTCATTCTCCTGAACGGGTCTTGGGGGAGTTTTCTCAAATTTGCCAAAAAACTCGGACTCAAGAATAAACTGATTGGAATCAACACATTCTCGCTCCAACCTCGTCACATGCTGACGTGCTTGGTCATGGACTTCCCACGTCCACATACGACGTGACAATTTGAGACACAAGTTCTCCCTGTAACATGCATTGTCTTCTTCCATAAAATACTTCAGTTTTCACAGGAAATTTAACATTTACATACAGTCTCTTTCAAAATAAAAGCGCTACATTGGCACAACACCGCAAATTGGCCTTTTTTTTCTTTCAACAACAAAAGCACTTTGTGGGTTTAGGAAAAAACAACAGGGTTTGGCTTCAGTATCTCACGGGACACTTATACTGCTCCCTCGGGTGAAAGTCAGTGTTTGTTGGACCCGTCCACCACAGCTCCCACCCGCCTGCTCCATTAGGACATTTGTTGCCTTAACTTTCATCCTTGTCCTGCTGCACTTCCTCCTGACGCCGCCAGACACTGTTAAACTATAACAGCAAACAGCCACGTATCATGCCGACATTAAAGGACACCTTTTGTCGTTGGTTTCTGACGCCGCAAGTCACTGCCCAAGCGCCAGATTTCAATGACTTCTGAGTGAGACCGGGCTCTTACAATTTGGTGGTCAAAGGTCACTACGACCTCACAAAACATGTGTGTCTTGCAAATATGCAGGGACCAATTAGGAGGGGTTGATTGAGATGACAGCAGAGGATTTTTTTTTTTTTTTTTTTTTTCTACAAATCTGTCAGCGGCAAAGAGGCTGCTGATGTGTTTATGGTTAAGACCAGCCACATGATGCTTGCTCAAGCCTCTCGCTCTGACCAGCAGGTTGATCGGACGGGAGGAACTTGTGGGCTGCAATGATGTTACGCAGGCAGATGATAGCAGCAACAGAAAGGCAGAGACAAAAGTCAGAAAGGGCTGCACGTCTGCAGATTTTGTGGAAAGCACCATCTAGCTCTGCCTGCCTGATTTCCCCAACTCTGATTCATCATCTACCACTTGCTTGGTTAAGTTGTAGATTGTGATTTGTGATATTAGGCTTTATGGGAAAAATTGAAACTGAAATTGAATAGAAGTTAGTATTTGTACAGCCTTTAGAGTCAGACTTTGTGACTGTGCTATAATGAACTGTGAATAATCTGTAAAGCACTTTTGGTAGGTAGGGTAAAGTAGCCTCGGTTAGCTTTGAGTTAACCTTCTCTCTCTGCCGACTTGGTTTTAACCTCTGCCTGTTGTACGAATTAAATATTTTGGACTTTTCTATTGTCTGCTATGTTTTTGACTCTTACAATACTTGTTTTGCTTTGTTTGTTTGTTTGTTTGTTTCTGCACCAGACACAAGGCAAAGTTCCTTTTATGTTAAAGCCTACTTGGTGATAAACCTGATTCTGAACTTGTTTCTACTGCCCCCAAGTGGCGAAATAAGTCAGTGATTGTAAGTTTAAAGAAAAAGGGTGTCCTTTTCAGCCCTTGAAACAGACTCAGAGCAGTGACTCAGGGTATCCAAGAGAACTCAGACCCTTCTGAAGCGAACCATACTCGGTTTGCTTCAAACCCACAGTACAGTTCACTTAACCTGTGCGTTGTAAACACAAAGCGCTCCAGGTATTTAACCAGCTAGATCACACGCTTGCAAGGACACAGGACGAGACGTAGTTTGGTCCACGGACGATACTGCATGTCTCTAGATGTGGAATGTAGAATACATCAAACGGCATCAAATGGAACAAGACTATTGTTATTGTCATCAGTTTCACCTGCGCTTTTCCTCCTGTGACAAGTCAAAGTGTCAAAGCTCCGTCTCGTGGAGTAATCAAAGTAACTGAAGGCATCACTGAAGAGTTTTGTAATTGCTGTTAAACAACTCACTATGAATAATACTTAGAAAGAAACCGTGAGGATCAGTCAGTAGGGTTTTAAATTCAAGACACAATATAATTATGGATCAAAACTGATGGCTCAGTGAGGTCACGGTTTGACTGTTTTCCCGTGAAGATTGCTGCAAACGTTTTTGTTGTTTTTGCAAAGTGTAGGTGGCAATGGCACAGACGTTGGGTTAGGTTGGGTGTCGCACATGTCAAGGTGGTTTGTTTTTTTCACAGCTCCACAGAGGAAGTGGTGAGCAGACCCCGTAGACGTCCGCCATTTGTCAGTCAGCAGTGAGAAAGGATGAAGATCGGTGTGTTTTATCTCGGCTTTTGTGAGTAACCATGTCTTTTTGTTTGTGCTTTGACTGACAGTATCAGAAAGTCTCGGACTCAACAGACTGACGTTTGTGGATTAATATTCCTGCTTCATTCATGTGTATGTGTCATTTTCCTGCTGTAGATGTTTAAGGTTGAGCTCATTTCAGTTCCTTATATCTTGTTGGATAGTTTAATCTATAGCGAACATATTTTGTCAGATCATCATATGTTTGTTGCGTGGCTGTCCTGTAAGAACCACGGCTCTCCAAAAAGTCAGAAAAACAGCCTGTTTTCGGGTTTATTCAGCTTAAGAAGGAGGAGAATTTTCATTGCATCCTTCACTTTATCACAAACATTCCAGACCAGTCTCCAGAGGAAAATGTGTACGTTTCTGCAAAACCACAACTGTGTCACATTTGTACATTTCACATGTATCATTTGAACATTTTTAAGTTGAGTAATATATATGCTACTCTTTTTTACCAACACATTGCAGAGTTTCCCAGCTGCGTTTCAGCCACCGACTCTTGGTGTTTTTTAACCAAAACTGGGAGTCTTTAGCGTGACATTTCAATGTTTCCCAGCAGTGTTTGAGCCATTGAAACAGGGTGTTTTTCATCAACCCATCCCTGCTTTTCCAGCGGCTTTTGTGCCCCCAAAAGTGGGTGTTTTAACCTAAAGAATGATCTTTTCCTAACCATAACCAAATGCTTTTTATGCCTCAACCCTACCCACATGTTAGTTTCATCATATTCAATACAAAACAATGTATAAATGTAATATATCCATGTATGTTTTTTTCTGGGGTTAAACACTCAAAATCAACACATGGTTTTTCCTGGACAGCAAGGGGATGAACAACTGTAATCTGATAAACAATATTTACCTCTGATATGGAGTGGAGTAAAAGTATAAAGTGGCATAACATGGAAATACTCAAGTAAAGTCAAAGTACCTTGAATTTATACTTAAGTACAGTACTATGTAAATGTACTTAGTTACATACCACCACTGTCAATATTAAGTATTATTTGAATCTTCTCTTTTCTCTCTGCTGTGTGTTTTTTAGGTGTGCTTCATACACTCACCTCATCTGCTACCAATAAAGAAGGTATTGAACTCTTTCTGAACACTTATTATTCACTTAGTATAAACTTGATTCATATATTTTCTGTGAGATTTCTATTTCCTGAAGATTCTGACAAAAACTGCCAACCCATGCATTTCTGCTGCTTTTAAGGTCCCCCTCCACTTAAGAATGTCTTCTTGCAATGCTTATGTTCCCTAAAATGTCCGACTTTGACTTACTGACTTATACCTGTGCAAAGTTTGTCACGAGAGAGGTGTTTTCACATTCCTCCTGCAGTTTGAGCCAGATTAGGTACGCCACTAATATGAACACCAAGCACTGTCTAATATGGGAAACACTTACCTCCGGGGGAATAAACTTCAACACAACACCGCCAAAGAAACAGGAAACCTCTAGCACAGAGCGGACTTGTCAGTATAGGCAGCAGTGTTAGCATTAGCATTGTGAAAATTTTGTTAGCAATCATGGCAGAGTGTTTTTGGATGACCTTCCGCCATCTTCCAAAAACCCCATCGCAGCAAATGTTGTACGTTTCACAACCCCAAACACCATGGTGGCAGCCACTGCCAGTTAGCCCACAAGCTAACAGGCTAACAAACAAGATGGTAACTACACTTATCATTTTGATATGTCTGCTAGCTGCTGATTTTGGTGCAAAACAGACTCCTTGTATGAGTCTGGGTCTGAGTGAGGCTCAGACATGTCTGGCTGAATCTCTCCCCTGTTTTCTCTAATGCTTATGCTAGCAATCTAGCAATCTCTTGTTTGTCAACCAAACAGCGCTGGAGAAACCGCCATTCAATTCAATACATTTTATTGATAAAGCCCAAGATCACAAATCACAATTTGCCTCAGAAGACTTTACGGCATACAACATCCCTCTGTCCTTGGACCCTCACAGCAGAAAATGAACAACTCCACAAACAAATCCCTTTTAATGGGTAAAAAAATGGTAGAAACCTCAGGAAGAGCAACTGAGGAGGGGTCCCTCTTCCAGGACGGACAGACGTGCAATAAGTGTTTTACAGAACAGATCAACAAAATTAATGTACAGTGATCCAAAAAATCAGAAAACAAAAAAACAAGTTAAAAAAAAATTAATAACACAAACATATCTGGCGACATTATGTTTTCCGGTCCATCTGTCCGTCCCTTTCTCGTGAGCGAGATAAGTAAAGAACACCTTGGGGCAATTTCTTTAAATTTGGCACAAACGTCTTCTTGGACTCAATGATGAACTCGTCAGAATTTGGTGGCCAAAGGTCAAGGTTACTGTAACCTTACTTCTGTCTCATTCTCCTGAAGGTGACATCTTCAGAGCGCCTTGAGGGTATTGCTTTAAATTTGGCACAAACATCCAATTTGAGAGCGGACTAATTAGATTTTGGTGTTCAAAGACCATGGACCATGTCCGTCGCATTCTTGTGAACGAGGTATCCCAAGAAGAAGAAGAACCCAAGAATTTATTCACTAATTACGACAAAACTTCACACTAATGTCTAACAGGATAAAATAATGAAGTGATGAGATTTTATATCCAAAAGGTCAAAGGTCAACTTCACTGTGACATCATCATGTTCTGCATAAAACACTTCTCTGGTAATTATTAAACATCATATCTCAGGAACAGAAGGGGAGACATTTGGTCAGAGACTGAGTTGGTGACACTGATCTTGAAACTGTGCTGATTGTATAGATCTTCTGTGTGTGAAGCTTCCATGTTTTCACTGACATGGATGTAAACTGTAACTGTGGTAATTCTAGTTTCAATTTTTTTCCCTTCAGTCTTCATACAAATGACTCCCAGCAGGTCCCAGTTCTTTCAGTATGAGCGTGTCTCTCTGAGCTGTGAGGTCTCAGCTGGAGGCAGTCGGCTGAGGAGGAACACAACCACCAGAGGAACTGAGTCCTGCCCGTACGGCTGGGGAGCTCTGAATGGCTCCACCTGCACCATCACCACACTGTACGTGTCAGACACTGGACTCTACTGGTGTGAGTCCGAATCAGGGGACCAAAGCCAGACTGTACACATCACAGTAACAGGTATGGACTGATGGTAAAATCTGGTTGAAAAAACTTGCCCGAATATGCACAGACATCCCTGAACATCTGAATCTGTTTGACTCGGTTCAAAAGGAAATAATTTACCTTTTTCACAGTGTAGTATTCGTGTTGTGTGTGTGAGTGGTCATGACACAAACGACAGTTGGAAAAAAATATATTGATGTGCATATTAATAGCATAAAAAAACTGCCTGAGTGTGTGAAGGACTTCAGTCTTGTTTGTTAAGACTGGCTTGTTTCTGTCACTCAGCTGATCCGGTAATCCTGGACAGTCCTGCTCTTCCTGTGATGGAGGGAGACGCTGTGACTCTGAGCTGTACAAACAGGAAGACTTCCTCCTCCAACCTCACAGCTGATTTCTACAAAGATGGCGTCTTCATCAGGAGCAGCTCCACAGGAAACATGACCATCCACAGTGTTGCCACGTCTGATGAAGGACTCTACAAGTGTAACGTCTCTGGAGCTGGAGGATCAGCAGACAGCTGGCTGACTGTCAGAGGTGAGGACGTAATTCTGATCTGCTTACAAACAGATTTGTTCCTACTGAGGCTCATAGATTTATTTTTAATGTCTGTCACATTCTTGTGAACACAATATTTCAAGAAGGCCTTTGAGGGAATTTCTTCAAATTTGGCACGAACATCCACTTGGACTCAACGATGAACCGATTAGTTTTTGGCAGTCAAAGGTAAAGGTGTCTGTGACCTTGTCTGTCTCATTCTCGTGAGCACAATATCTCAAGAAGGCCTTTGAGGGAATTTCTTAAAATTTGGCACAAACACCCACTTGGACTCAATACTGAACTGGATTTCCATGGTCAAAGGTCAAGGTCAGAGTGACCATGCATCCGCTGTATTCTCTTGAACCAGATATCACAAGAACACCTTAAGGGAATTTCCCCAAATTTGTCACAGATGTCCGCTTGGACTCAATGATGAACTGATTAGATGTTAGGGGTGAAATAGTCCTTTAAACTCAGAGAGAACGCGTGCATATTTGTCATTTTGTTGTCATTTAACTTGTGCAATGAATTAAAACTGCAGTGTCAGACCCTGCAGCTCCTGATGCTCCTGATGCTCCAGTGATGTCCGTCTCCAGACTGGTATGTCATGTCATCGTAGGGACTCCGTACCTGCTGTCCACCATCATACTGGGACTCATATACAGAGACAGAAGAGGTGAGAACCAAACACAACTGACTGCTGCATTTGTGCATCTCTTCTTTCTTCGTCATGTTTCTTCTCCACGTTGCAGCTGCTCAGCTCGTTGCAGAGGACAGACGACATGATGTCATCATGGAGGTGGAATAAAGGACCAGACCGCACACATATTGAATATTATAATGTCTATGTAAGCCTGTATTACATTTTATTTGTGTACTTTTTTTTGTCCCTGGCTCACAGAAGAATATATATTTACCAAACCAAAGCAAACCAAAGCATTAGAGACTCTAACTGCAAGCCAATAATGTGGTTTAAAAGGGAGAATGTCTCTGCACTCACAGGGGATCAAACAGAACTATAACAGCACCTGCAGAGGAAGAGAAGCTGCTTCTTGCTCGTGTGGTTTTGGTGGTTTGAGACTTTGCAGACTGCTGTTTTTTTAACATGTGAACAGTTTTTTTGTTCACATTGTCACACTCACATTGTCTGTCAGAGAGAGATCATGACATATGCTGAAGTAGAGCATGCTACTGTTAGTCTAGCCCTGCTGTGCGGTCTAGAAATATGCAGATTTTTTTGTTCTTATCCTTTCTTTAACAATGCATTTTCATCAAGGTTTCATTTACATGTATACACAGCAGCACAGCAGAGACACAAATGATCCATTACTGCGTTTCCAGCGGCTTTAGAGGCACCAAATGTGGGTGTTGTTCAGTGACCTACTGCTCTTTTGCAGTGGGAGTAGTGCCATGTAAAGTTGTTTAATCCAAAACATGATCTTTTTCACACCATAACCAAGTGTTTCTTGTGTTGCTGTGCATCATAATATACACATGTAATGTATCCTGTGGTTCGCAGAAACGTACAATGCCAGCATTTATTCAGTCAGTTGGGTTGAATCTGAAAAATTTTCCAAAAATTCCTGGACACAAGACACTTGGATAATGGAATTTTCAGAGGTTTGCATTTGTTTTATTAAATTTTTTTTTGCCATCTTTCATTTGGATATATTTTTTTAGCGCTCTGCTTTCCTCAAACTTAAGAGTCCACCCCAAATCAAGCACACGTTTCCTCTTACCTGTCGTGCAATTTGTCGGTCTAGATAGTTTTGGTGCTGGAGATATCGGCCCTCGAGATGACTGCCTTCTCTCCAGTATAATGGAACCAGATGGCACTCTGCTTGTGGTGCTCAAAGTGCCAAAAAAATACATTTGAAAAACTCAACAATATCTTTTTCCAGAAATCAGGATCGGGTTACTCAGGATAATCCACAGACCTTGTTGTGAGCAGTTTCATGTAGGAACTATTTTCTTTCTACCTAACTACACCCGCCAAGCAATCATGCATCCACAAGCTCACCTAGCACCACTGCTAGCCAATCTTACAGCTCAGCAAAGGAGGACGTCATATATGTTTCCATCTCGTGCTGTCATGAACCTCTTGTCCATGAGTAGATGCACGCTTCCTTCTGAACAGTGATATGGTTGGTAGGTGTACTTCAATTGAAAGAAAATAGTTCCTACATGAAACTGCTCACAGCGAGGTCTGTGGATTATTTTCAGAGCATTTCATTTAAGTGTCTGATAACCTGCAGTCACCCTGGTTACTATCATTCAACCTTCATTTATTGCTGTTATAGCTTCAGTTGGTCAGCAGGAGGCGACAGAAACACAGTGAGTTGGCACCCCGCAGCTCCCTGCTCACCATCTGCTGGAGACTGGTGGACTTCTACAGAAAGAGGGAGTCCTACATTTCTGATAAAAGCATGTCAGATTAACATGATTATTCTTATCTCGTTTTATTTTGTTAAATACTTGTACATCTTTTTTCTTCTTGACTGACGAGGCCTACTTGTTTTAAACTACTGAATAAGGTTGTGGAAATGGGGTAAAATGTTGTGGGAAAGGTTTTGAATTTTTTTTAATAAAAATGTCTGAGAACCCTGAAGTTCATACTTATTACCTCTGAATCAGATTTAGATACAAAGTGGTTTTGTGGTCCCAGTAATAAATAAATAAATGACATCTCTAGCAGTGAGAGTCATTTGGAAATCCCAGTGTGTTGCCTTTCTGATGAAATCCTTAAGTGATTTCAGTGTTTTTAATCTCTCATTCTTAAAGAGATCGTGGACGCTTACAACCATGAAATGTTCATCATTCATGTCCCCCTCAGGATGAATTAAACACTGCAGGGTGCAGGTTTTGTTTCAACACTGGAGGAGACGCATGTAAAACAGGTTGTTGGTGGTCCTCCCTGTGGACAGTTTGAGCATCAAACATTAAATTTGCTGCATTATGGTGAATTTTTGTGCACCAGTTTGTGTCATTTCTGCATTTATTTAAAGAGGAAGTGTCTTTAATTTTATCAAAATAAAAGCGGGACAAATGCTCATGCTGTGCATATTGAGGGGGACGTGTCTCCTACATCCCCCTGAAATCTACGCCTCTGTAAACAATGTGAACATGTTAGCACGCTGACGTTAGCTCAAAGCAGGCCTAGCACTGTGTCTAAATACAGTCTCACAGAGCAGCTGGCATGGCTGTGGACACATGTTGCATTATGGGACAAAAATAAAGCAATTTTTATTCCAATTAAATGATATAATTTGTATTATTTTGTCATTTCTCTGAGTTTCTGATGGAATTCTCCTATTTGTATGAAATCCCTTATTTCCCAGCTGCAATTGAATGCACCCCCGCGGAGCTGTCCGCGGTGCTGAAACCCCTGAACGCCTCTCCACTCTTCTCTCCCTCATCACATATTCACATGATGATCCGTCTCGTGCCGTCACGTGAACATGCTGCTATTCTCTGAGAGCGGCACGAGAGCACGGCGGAATGCCCCGTGCGACGCGGGGACGCTCGCGGGTGGCGGACGGCGACGCGGTAGCGTCACACGGAACGTGACGCGCCCTCCCTGCCGAAGATCGTTTGTGTTTGACAGATGGAGACACAGGCGCTGCTCGGCCAGTATCATGGACTGTTCAAACACATCTTAATGCAGAGATTAACATATTGTTACCATAGTAACACAACTGAAAGAGAGGGAGAAAGGGAAATGACCACACAGTTCGCTTGTAATGGTGAAACAGAAAGAATATTTTAAATGTTTTTTGAACCAAAAACATTTAAGAGCTGTCACTCTGCCTGTATCTCCGGGAACTACAATAATCTTCTAAAAACTTTATGACTTGACATTATTAGACAACATTTATCTTCAGTTTGTTTTTACATTTTTTATTTTGATATATTGTACGGTCTTTCTTTAGGTCTATTCTAGTCATGTTATACCATTCCAACATTAATGTCACAGCCTGAATATGAGGAAAACAAGGAGCAGTAGATCCACTAAAATTCACATTTAATATTGTTAAATTGTCATGACCAGGAGCATTATAGTGGGGTGAAAGTGGGACTGGTTACCAAGATAACCCTTTTATTTCTGATTAATTAAAATATGACCACATAAATTGGTTGAAAAACTGAACTTTGTGCACAGAAAAAAAAGTATATAGTGGAAGCTCTCCGAGGCCCCTCTCACCCCTTCAAGATGCAAAATGGTTTAGTCTGCCTCTGCACTAGGATTCAGCTCTAAAGGCAGCTAAACCAAGTGAATGACTGCTGGAGCACCAATGAAAGGGAATTTAGGTTTCCAAAAAAGTAAAGCAAAAAGAAATTGAAATTGAAAAAATGATAGTCTAACCGGGAGAATTTTGGGCTGGTTGCAATCTGCAGTCTTGACCACTAGATGCCACCAAATCCCACTAAATCTGACACACTGGACCTTGTGAGCACGATATCTCAAGAATACCGTCAGGGGATTTCTTTAAATTTGGCACAAACGTCCACTTGGACTGAAGAATAAACTGATTGGAATTTTGTAGTTGAAGGTCAAAGGTCAGTGTGAGCTCACTTGCTCTAGAATTAATTACTAACTAATTAAGAACTAACTGTAGCTAATAAATTGTCTGTTCTGCCCATTTTAAGGTGACGAAAACATAATGATTCTTATTTTCAGGTGATCATACACTAAAGAAAACAAACTACATATCGATGAAAAAGAAAGGTCTCTCGTATGTCACATTATTTTGCATTTTTCTTCTTAAAATTAACTAGTTAGTTACGGATTATTGGGCGTCAAGCTATCGAAAGCAAAATTAGCCAAACTGATATCCCTATGACAAGGCTTCCCACAAATGTCTAACAGGATAAAATAATGAAGTGACAACACATTCTCACTCCGACCTCGTCAAATATCAAAGTTTGGTCATGGACTTTCCACATCAACATACGACGTACAAGGTACCCTGGGTGTGTTGGTTGTTGATGCTCTGGGACACCGTGTCAAGTTCTGCCTGTCGCATGCATTGTCTTCTTTCAAAATACACCTTTGTTTTCACAGGAAATTTAACATTTACATACAGTCTCTTTCAAAATAAAAGCACTACGTCGGTACAACATTGAGAATTTACCTTTTTTTTTGCCTTTGACAACAAAAACACATGGTTAGGTTTAGGGAAAAAACAACAAGGTCTGGCTTTAGAATCTTACGGGATGCAAACACTGATCTCCTGTAAAGGTCGGTGTTTGTTGGACCCATCCACCACCGCTCCTGTCCCCCTGTTGGGGCTTTCGTCACCTTAACTTTCAGTCTTCACCTGTTGTGTTTCCCCCTGACGCTGCCGAGCGCCATTAAAGCATGACGTGTATCGTGCTGACGTTAAAGGATGGCTTTTTCATCAGTGTGTGACGCCGCAAGTCACTGCCCAAGCGCCACATTTTGACTGGAGTGTGACCGGATTGGAAGTGATGACATTTCATATTTAAAAGGTCAAAGGTCAGTTTCAGTGTGACATCACAATGTTCTGCATAAAACACTTTTCTGGCCATTTTTAAATGTCATATCTCAGGAACAGAAGGGGAGACAATTGCGGATAATAACCAAACTTTCTCGAAAAGTTCCAGAAAAAAACAACAGCTGTTTATTTGTAGCAGAGATGTGCAAAGCAAACAAACAAACAAACAAACAAAACAAAATGATCTCAGTTTTAATAACATTCAGCCCAAACTAAAATGTGTGTAGTTTACGACCCGTGTGATCCATCTTATCATTAGACGATCTCTGTCTCTCCCTCTCTCTCTCTCTCTCTCTCTCTCTGTGTCTCTCTCTCAGACTGAAAATAGGTCCAGCTGGGTTTGGTCTGGTTAATCATCGGCATCCGTCTCCGCCACCGATTTCACCAAAATAAACGGACAATACCGACGTCTGCTGACCGTTAACCGGAGGATTTACCGCCATTTCCTGCTCGTATCTCCTCCCGCCAGCCTGCAAATATATTTTAAAATCTAATTCAGCTTTAATTTGTGTGTTTTTTCCCCCCTCAACCGAAGTGATGTCTGTCGCGGGGTTGAAAAAGCAGTTCCATAAAGCCACCCAGGTAAGAACAAACCTGTGTGTTCATCTCCGTGTGTGTTTGTTAATTTATTTACAGCTTATATCACCACAGATGTTTATTTATGCGTTTGATTCTGCGGTGGAGTGATGCCGCTATAAAACGCGTTTCCTGTGGTCCATTAGCGACAATAAAGCACCAGTAGAATCAGGATCAGCTTTTTATCCATTGTTGTCTAATATGGAGAACATGTATATTGTAATTATAGATAAATATTTATGTTTTAAAAATGTGTGCAAATCGTAAATTATGTTTTTCTCCCAACGTGTGTTTTTTTTTCTCGCGGTGTTTTCGTGGGTGTACATTCAAAAGCAGGGTATACCCCCCCCCTCTCTCTCTCTCTCTCTCTCTCTCTCACACACACACACACACACACACACACACGTCAGGATGTTATGTTACGTAACAGACTATGAGTTGAAAGTGTGTGTGTGTGTGTGTGTGTGTCTGCAGAGCTGATTGGCTGTTGCCACACGCAACAGGGAATTCCCTCCATCCTCCTTTACATCCCTCTGTCCATCTTTACACCCCTCTGTCATCCTTTCATCCTGTGGTGTGACGCCTCTGATCATCCCTCCTTCTTTTTCCATCCATGCATCGATCTTATAAGCAGTCCCTCCACGTCCTGTCCCTCTGTAGTCGTCCCTCCACCCTCCACCTCTCCATCTTTCTGTGGTCCTTCTAAACACGGTTTGATCCCTCCATCAGTCCTTCATCCTACCGTATGACGCCCTCCGAACATCCCTACATCGTCTTTACATCCCTCTTTGTCTATCTTGAAGTCATCCCTCCATCATTTGTTACTCTGTAAATATTCCTCCATCCCTCCATCTTTTCCGTCTCCTCTTATACACCTCTGTGGAGCTTATATCAAAGGTTTTATCACGATACCATATTGTTTTGATTTTTTTGGACAGCAATACAGTTTCTGCTGATATCACCAAGTCTGTAACTGTCTTGATACGTTTTTGATTTGTTTTTATTCCGGGGCCTGTGATCGAAGGGAGACGATATCAGGGCTGACAAGTGAGGCCAACACAGAAGTACCAAAAACTGCAGTTCCTCAAATGGCCACTAGGGGCTGGCTCCAGAGGCCAGTTTGAATGTGAAATGTTTAAAGCAGAAATAAACATGTTTACAGCCTCGTACAAAAAACAGTTTTGGTCTCTACAGTTAAGTTATCCCTCATGACAACTGTACTGGGAAGGCTTAGAGTTATATGTACGGCCAAATGCCAAACTCGAGGTTTCAAATCGGGAGTCCGCAAACCAATGGGTGACGTCACAGTAGCTACTTCCATTATTTATACAGTCTATGGTGGAGACCTGAGGGTGGGCAGTGGGAACACTCACTCAAGCCGTCATCTCTCTTATTTCCCACCGTGCTGTTTTAAAACTCCAGTCTACTCGAGCATTACCGTGGGGAGGGAGACTGCTGTTTGACGGCTCTGTGGCACCCACTAGTGGTGGGCGGCTGCATGACAGTTAACCTGCCTTGTATATGAATTAACCAACTAATATTTTTGGTGCCGACTAGCGAGGGGGCGGACGTCTAATCCTGCACATCCCTAGTCTCTATCACCACGTTCTTCACGATGCCTTCAAATTCATCTTTCGATGTAGGTGTTTGTAATTTTTGATTTTTTTGGAGATTGTTCCACGTCCAAGGTTGCCGCATGTTAACTCAGCCACAAAACATCAAAGGTTTAATGTGTCAGATTTAGGGGGGATTTAGTGGCGTCTAGTGATGAGGAGTGCAGGTTGCAACCAGCTCACACTTCCCCTGGTTAGGATTCGTTCAGTGTTCATTGTTTAGGAGGTTTTTCGTTGATTTAAACCAGTAAAAAAAAAACACTGAATAAAGATTAATATTACTGCTGCATAAATGTTACATTTTACTGCTGTGGATGTTTCAGGTTGCCCCCACACCAGTGATAGTCAAGGCTGGAGGCATAATGTTTTTGGGTTGTTAGTCCCAACACTGTAAGGGAATTTCATCAGATTTGGCACAAACGTCCACTTGGACTCGAAGATGAATAGATTAGATTTTGGTGGTCAAAGGTCACTGTGACCTTGCATCTATCTCATTCTCGTGATATTTCAAGAGCACCGTCAGGGAATTTCTTTAAATTTGGCACAAACGTCCACTTGGACTGAAGAATAAACTGATTGGAATTTTGTAGTTGAAGATCAAAGGTCAGTGTGAGCTCACTAACTCTAGAATTAATTACTAACTAATTAAGAACTAACTGTAGCTAATAAAATGTCCGTTCTGCCCATTTTAAGGTGACGAAAACATAATGATTCTTATTTTCAGGTGATCATACACTAAAGAAAACACACTGCATATCGCCGAAAAAGAAAGGTCTCTCGTATGTCACATTATTTTGCATTTTTCTTCTTAAAATTAACTAGTTAGTTACCGATTATTGGGCGTCAAGCTATCGAAAGCAAAATTAGCCAAACTGATATCCCTATGATCAACATAACACAAAACCCCGACCTCGTTAACATCCCTCCATCATCCCTCATTTTCATTTACATCCCTCTATCATCTGTGTGGTCAGTCCTCCATCTTCCGTTATCCTGAAATCACCCCTTCCATCCTTTGTCTTGTCGCTCAAAACATCCCTCTATCACCCCTTCATCTTTTTATGTTGCCTTTCTGTCCTTCCAAATTGAAAATCACCCACCAATCATCATCCTTCATGTTATAATCACTCCTTCGTCCTTTACCTTCACCAGTCTTCCAGATGTTCCTCCATCATCCCTCTCCTTTCACCCTCTTTACACCCCCCATCTCTTCTCTCTGAACATCTTTATTTATTGACATCACTCTGTACCTGTTGTAAATATTCCTCCATCTTCTGATATATATCCATCTGTCACCCCTCCTACATCAATCTGACTTTTCCTCGTATTTCTGACTGATGTTTTTCAGTTTATGTTTGTTCTGTAGCGATCACGATGAAGGGGAAGAATGAGTAAAGTGTCTGCGGATGCTGACCAGGTTTTATGACCTTTTCTGTTCAGGGCAGAATAATAGAAGCTGACGTGAACAAAAAACGAGGAATCCTTTTGACCTTTTACCCCCTCTGCTGCTGCTCGGTGGTGTCGAGTCTGAATGTGAGATGAAGGCAGAGACAGGCTGATGTGACAGACAGACAGTGGCTGTATGAGACGGTCCAGACGTCTGTTCACTCAGACTCCACCCAAAACACCTTACACCTCCTCCTGTCATCATGTCTGCTGTAAATTCGACGTGGAATCCCTTTTATCTACAAGAGCACTGGTTTTGAGGCTCATGTAACCACTGTTCATACTGTGGAGAGTTTTATTAGTAAACTGTACCTATAAAATAAAGGATGTTATGCTGCCTCTTGCAGCAGCTGGAGTCTGAGAAAAAAATAATTCACCTGGTCGACTGCCGGCAAATTTTATGGTGGAACGTTAACTTGTAACGTTATTTAATTCATGAGTTGACGACGTGACATGTTTGGTGGAAACTAGCTAATGACTCACTCCATGTGGCATTACATTTGTGAAGAGAACTTCGGTTATTGTCACACGCCTCCACGGAGAACGAAGAATCCAAAAAAGGAGAAAAGTCTTGATGAATTGAGGTCAACAGGGTCCACGTTTAACTACAGCAAAACTACATCAAAACATCTGTTCATAAACTCTCACACAACTTGTGCAGTATAATCCAAGTCTCATTTATCCAGTTGTATTCTCTCAGTCTGACAGGGGGCTGAACTTATCTTTGCTCTCTTCAAAGCCAGACTCCATTGACAAAAACAGTAATTTTAACTCCCTGAAGACAGGAGTTGCTGGTCTACCGCTGCCTCGGTCAGTTTGTCTGTCCTGTTGTGTGAATTTGGTCAATCCAAACTAACCCTTAAGGCCCTGACACACCAAGCCGATAGTTGGCCGTTGCTCAAAGTCAGGCCGTAGGTGAGCGTCTGTCAGCCTAGTTTTTGCAGTGCGTCTGGCACTGTCGGCGGCTTATCGGCCGATTGAGCGTGTTGATTGAGCATGTTGAAACCGGAGCTAGCTGTGAGGCTAGCGGAGCACCGAGCCCTGGTTTGTTATTCAGGTTAAAGTGGGAAGAAGCAGCGGGTTTGTCGGGCAGCTGAGTGAAGTGAAGCCTGAGGAGGAAACACCGGGACCGTCTGGATGTAATAGTCCGTGAAGGTGCTGCGGTGCTCGGCTGCACAGATAGGAAACCCCTCGGCTGACAGGATGTACCACTCTCTCACTCTGCTACTTTGTTTATCTCAAGCATTCCTCTGACTTTTGGTTTCCCTTTTTGTGTTATTTCCTCTCACGCAGGCGCACAACGTACGTGCTACTTGGCCGTCGGATGTAGTCCGTGTAGTGTGTTCAAATGCAACTGACACAGGGTGATGTGAGGCGACATAGACGACGCAACAGTTGGCTCTCGTCGCCGCTAGGTCTTTGATGTCGGTTTGGTGTGTCCGCACCTTTAAACAACGAGGGTTGGACTTTAATTATAAATAAATCTTAGTGTTTTCTATACATTGATTTATTTGTGATTGCCCGCCACAATATCAACATTGAACTTCACTTATTTCTTTTCTTTTATTAAAAAATGTAGTATAATTTTTTTACTAAGTATTCGGCCACATTCTCTTTCTCTCTGTTTATCATAAGAGCTTGCTGAGTGCTCGTGAGTGCACGTGAAAGTTAGCCAGCACACACACAGTGACAGGGCTAACTGTTAGCATCACACGGCTAATGTTACCTTCCAGTTAACAATGGTTTTAACGACAGAGTCCAGCAGTTTCTGTGCCGGTGTGAGTTTGTTGGGACTGTTTAACGGCTCGGTGTTGGATGTTAGCTGCTGCTGTGTTAGCTTGTGCTAACCAAGCAGACATTGAACTAACCATTCGCCCAGAGGAGAGTGGCTCCAGAGACGGTCCTTCAGTGCTGTGTCTAACCTGTAACAGAAACACTGAATCATCT